GGTTGAGGCGGTCTTCCTGGCGTTCCAGGAGTTCCAGGATATCCAGGCGTTCCGGGAGTCCCAGGGTAACCTGGTTGTGGTGGCGTTCCTGGCGTTCCAGGATGTCCAGGTGTACCAGGAGTTCCTGGTGTTCCAGGGTAACCAGGTTGTAGTGGCGTTCCTGGTGTTCCAGGATGTCCAGGTGTTCCGGGAGTCCCAGGGTAACTAGGTTGAGGTGGCGTTCCAGGAGTTCCAGGCGTGCCAGGTGTGCCAGGGTAACCAGGTTGAGGTGGCGTTCCAGGAGTTCCAGGCGTGCCAGGTGTGCCGGGGTAACCAGGTTGCGGAGGTGTTCCGGGATGACCAGGCGTACCAGGAATTCCAGGTGTTCCAGGGTATCCTGGTTGAGGTGGTGTTCCAGGAGTACCAGGCGTCCCAGGTGTTCCAGGGTAACCAGGTTGCGGTGGCCTTCCTGGCGTTCCGGGAGTTCCAGGTGTCCCAGGGTAACCAGGTTGAGGTGGTGTTCCAGGATGTCCAGGTGTTCCTGGAGTTCCAGGAGTTCCAGGGTATCCCGGAGTTCCCGGATAACCTGGCTGCGGTGGTGTACCAGGTGATCCAGGGGTACCTGGTGTTCCAGGATATCCTGGTTTCGAAGGCGTTCCAGGTTTTCCAGGTTTTCCAGGATGTCCGGGTCGTCCGGGTTTTCCAGGATGTCCGGGTCGTCCAGGTGTGCCAGGTGTTCCCGGAGTTCCAGGCGCTCCTGGGTATCCTGGTTCTAGTGGGATTCCCGGTTGTCCAGGATATTGCGGATATCCTGCAACATTTATTTACAATTTAGAATTTGTCTTGTATTATCATCCGTTATTTCTTTTCTTGGATCGCAAGTTTTGTATTTTATCGTTTTGAATACATACCAGGTCCATTCGGATATCCTGGCGTTTGTGGTGGATATTGCGGTTGGCCTGGTTGAAGTGGTGTTCCTCCACTGGTTGAACCATTCGTGCCTGGCCCTACATAGATGTTTATTTTTATTTTTAATGAATTTGTTTTTTATTATTCATTTTCTATTCTGTAACGATCCATTATACATACGTTGTCCAGGTGGGAAAACTGTATTTGGTTGTGTGCTCGTTCCATCGAATTGTCTACAAATTTCTGGAAAATATAGATCCTTCCACTCTGTAATCACACCGTGATGCTCATGATGATCATGTTCATGTTGCTGTGAGTCTTCATCGTGGTGGTGCTCGTGTTCGTGTAAGAATAGTTCAATTGCTTTGCCTGGTTGAACTACCCGGTATCCCCAACCATCGCTAACGTAAAACGTTGTTTTTAGTTTTCCATATGGATCGATATATCCATAGCAACCGTACGTGATGTCGTCGGGTCCACGTGTCTCATGATGAAATTGTCCGTTTGGACTCACTTGGTAACCATAATTGTACGCGTCTGTAAAACATATCATAAAATTTTTCAAAATTACATTAACCATCTTTTTTATACTACTGCATTGTGCGAAGTATTTTTCTATGATTATTTAGAAATAAAAAATGTTTGAGTTTGTTGGATTTTACATCATGAACTTACTGGAATAGAAGTCTTGATTTAAATACTGAGTTTTCTGATCGTCACTGATGTTCAATATCACTTCTCTGCTCTGCCTGCTTCCTTGCTGCTGAGTGTTTTGCAACAGACATGTGGCAATCACCTATTACAGATGAACATTCAATTAGTCATCCGTATAATATGTACTTTACTCTCAACGATTATGAAAAATTATTCATTTTTCTGAAAGTTTACAGATAGATCAAACTTTACTATGTACAAATGTACTACGTAAAACTATGTACCATGTGCAACTATGCAAAAATCGTGTGTGACAATTTGTAAATTGTGATATTATGGTGTATATCCATCTTAAACTATTCTGTTAACATTATGTAACACACCAGTTACATAGCAAATTAGCCAACATGGTATCCTGATTTGTTCTTTGGTAGCTGCCTTCAGTCGAATTAATCTTGTTCACCTTTTAAGAGCTTAGCGGAGATTCACTAACACCGTAGCATGTCATTTTAAATGTCAAATCAGCTACTCGGCCCAACTTGCTCGGAACACTCGTGCATTAATATTCGTAATGAGGTAATTCTAATCGCTACATATTTGTTCCAAGTACAAAAAGTTCAACGAATTCCAAGAGATCTTTTGCTTCTTATGTAATACGACACATTTTCAAGCGCGAGCAAAACAACGATAGGATTCGCGATCATCAATACCACTTCTCTACTCTCTATAAATAACCAGTCCCGTATTGGCATAAGTGAACAGTGTACGAGTTTTTGTAGCACAGCGACGTTGACGTGGCTTTTAATCTTGCCATGTCGGGGGCCCCGTAAAAGTCAGCCTATGGAATCCCTGAGTTATTTCTCGCTTGATTACGCGGATGAAGCTTTTTCGTTCGCATCGCCATTTAGGGTAATTAAAACTAAAGGTCACGTACTCTTCCGAGCATCGCACCGTTTCGTAATCGAACATCCGACAGATCTATTACAAGACACCAAGTATTGACTTTATTATTATCGTAACGGTACCGTCGCTCTTGGTTTCCAAGCTGAATGTCATTATCGTAAATGCAGATCATTGTTGTACGAGATTCATCGATAAACCGTTATAGGAAGATGAAGAAGTAAAAGAAGTCGGCGATTAATCATTTTTATTCCTTGACGCTCGTCATCGTTTTACTTGACTTTCTTCAGGGTGCAGCCACACTTTCACGTGTCGTTAATACGTCCACTTGTGGTGCAGGTTTACGATGAAGTACCAACGTGAAATACCAAGTGATTATTGTTTAGCGTGTTGCAATTGGTAGCGAATTTACAGCTTAGTATGTAACGCGTAAATTGTAAATAATTGGTGGCTGGACTAGGTATTGTCGTATTATGACTTCCTTATTGTTGTATCACTGGTGTAGCTATATAAGGACATCGAGTGGTTCGTCGAAATTCACATTACTGAATATCCACAATTGAAAATAATACCGAAGTTGGTATTAGCCAAGGTTGTCTTAAAGAATAAATACATTTGTTTCACTTAACAGGATTATCTCAGAGCTACAATCTGTGATTGATGACCAGCTCTGCCGCGGATCCACCCACCTGAAAGGCAGCTGAAACGCTAGTTAATTCTCTTTAAAGGCTGTCGACAGATCTATTGAATCGGTTTAAAGCTCTCTCGTAATCTCTGATTTCATTATCACGGGTGTAATGATTTATATAGGCACGAAAGGAAACACAATAGGTAATAGGCAAGAATTTGCTTAACAGAGAGAATAGAATAGCGGTGTTTCATCCATGTTCGTAGATCATTTAATACGTCGAATGAACTTCATGTCAAAATTCATTTACGACGGCCAACTTATGACTGGACGTATATTGATCGAGATAAATACTGCTCGCTGAGTGAATAAACTTAGTTTTATTAGTCGAGCCAAGCAATTTATTGACTTTTGAATAAACGTATTCGTAACTTTTTAGGCCATTTTTAAAATGATTTAAAATCGTATTAAATAGGCAAATTGAAAGAGATAGATACATGAAGGGAAAAGTAATTTAATAAGTAACCCATTAAAAAAATTTATATTGGCAACTCAGTGATGTTAATACTTCGTACTTTCGAATAGAAAGTTTTTCGAATAGAAAGTTTTTCGGATAAAAAGTTTTTCGAATAAACAAATTCTTCACGTATTACATGTAAGCGACAAGGATGAGTTTTTGAGGCAACGATTCCGGAAGTCTCTTTAAATAGGACAATAAGAATCAAAAGGCAGATATCTTTAAAAAAAAAAATCTATAATAATTGGACTGTTTGAACCTAAGCTTTCACGTGACGAGTTCTCGTTGAAACGATAACGACTGGAATGCTTGTCTTCCTCGAGCAGATCCATCTTATTATTCATGGTTGATACTTACTGAAGCTTACACCCGGAAACTGGGCCGTGAAAGCCTCAAATATCTTGTCTTATTATTCGTACATGGACGACGCTCGACCAAATTGCTTTCCAGTTACAACCTCCGCGACGTGTTCGAAAAATCAATCGACACCATTTGTAGTTTTCACCCATGAATAATAAACGGAGCAGCGACGGTGGTCCCATACCCACTCAAAGCAGACATAGTGGTCAGACTGACACATTAAGAAGGCGGGAGTGACTATGGTTCTTTAAGATTTGTCGGTTCTACAAGACTTTAAGTATCATAGTCGAGCAAGTAGCCACCTCCATGTTGGTTCCCGCCGCGAGTACCCCATTTTGGGGGAAAACCGAGAGCTACCACTGCGAATACGATAGCATGTCCTCTGATATTGTTTGACTTCATCAATAAGAGGATTCAGTACGATCATCCTTAGTTAGATTAACTGGGCAGTAGAGTAACCCTAAGTTGTACTCGGATGCCTCCTATGAAGGTATTTTGTTATTAATTTTGTTATTAATTTTAATACTTAGTTTAATAATTTTGTAAATAAATCCTTTATGTTTGCTGTGGTGTGAATGCTTCAAGAAAGCTATAAGAATTTATAATCAAGTCTATTGATACCAAAAGAGACACGTTTCCAAAGTTAGACTATTTTATGTAATGCGATTCCTGTTCGCACATTTTGCAACGAGATGACGCAGAGTGCAAAAGGTTACTAAATTTCAGCGATATTCGGATCTTTTGGTGTAATTAGTATTCGGTTGCTTCCTAACGAGAATTCTTCCATACTTTGGAAATTGTAGTACTTTCTTCCGTACTAATTCCTCCTGTTTCTCGAAGAAATCGCTTCGATAACAGTAGAATTTTGTTTACAGTTCGCACATAAGTTACAAGGTTTAGTACAAAGTTAACCTTTTATAGTAAAGGTTAACTTATCTTCTTCGGTGATTCTAGTAGGTATTATTCGTTTTAGCATCGTAAATGTATTTGAGTTAATTGCCTTTCCAGGTTTCATTCGTATTCTTATCAGCCATTACAGCTTGTAAATTCTCTGAGTTAATAAAAGACCGTAGGTACGTACGTCAGTCGAACTTATACGTATTGAGAATCTCTTGTAGGCGTCAAAACTGTATAAAGTAGGTACCAGATGATTAAACGACTATCTTACCGATTCTGTTTCCAACTCGTCGTTAAAGGTGCCATCGAAATTCACTAGGTATCGAAAAATGCACACGTTCTTTTAATTCGTACGTGTGGATACTTTCACGTAGGTATCAAAATGGATTGATACTAAATGAGTATTACGTGCCACGAATAGTATCGACATCGTGTCAGTCCGATCACGAAGTACACGTGGCGCGAAACGCCACTGTCAAAAGTGGCACGGTCGCGCATCCTGCTCGGTTAGGATCTCTCCGTGGCGATCGATGATCTCAGCCGCCCTGTCGTTCCACCCACGAAAAGGGAAAGTGTGATCCTACGGAGCTCTTCTTCCCATTCGGAGCTGACTGACGGCCGTTTTACACGAATGACTTTCGTCTGCGTAGGAAAGGTTAATATATGCTAACGCTCGACCTGCCCTGCGCCATGAATCAAGCGTTGCTGGCAATGGTAATCCCTCTGGTATTCGTGCCGCGATATTTTAGTGGACAATGGTACATCAACGGACCCCAGGCGGTAACCATCCGCGGGAACGCGTGTCTGCAACTGTGGAGACCACAGTCGCGTTTGTGTTACCTTGACGATCGCGACTCGTGTAATCCCAGGTGGGAAATGGGGTGAGGCTGCTCAATCGGGACATGTTTGACAGTATTCTTTTACTAGGACCATTTTTAGAATCAGACGTTAGATCGAGTTGTCGTCATCGAGATCATCTGGAACCTCTGCATCGTGCTCACGTTTCTGATTGTGGGAAAATACACCACACGACTAAAGTGTTATTATTGTACGTCATATTATATAGAACTTTAGTTCAAGGAAAAATATTTACTCGTCGTTTATTTACGTTATGTATCAACCTTTCAAGTCCTCCATCTAATCTCCATGACGATATTTCACTTATTCCAACAAAATTCATAATTAGTACCGGTAATATTATTTCTCCTTTGTTTTACTTCTTTGAAGCAAAAATCTATACGCCGTTGTGATATTTATACCTCTCCTTCCCTTGAGAGTAGTACTGTATATTTTAGCTGTACCTCGAATTTAGAGACATTCCCAATTCTGTTTACGGAGAAACTAGAATGTATTACTGAAAATTGCTGGAATAATTATGGTTGTAGCCCATTCGATCCTTGTAAACTAATCTTGGAAAGTTAGCGCTGTTTTATTATTAACATGTGTATTTAAATTATTCAATGGTAATTCACGATTATCTAAGCTTTAACATGTAACACTTGATTACCGTCAGCATTTGAATTCATTCTTTTGTTTCGTTGTAAATTCGTACTTGTCATAGTAAAAATAGTATTAGGAGTTATCTCTAATATGACTACAGCGTTGTCAAGCTACGTATTAAAGATTTTCCACCGAACAACCATGAAGTAGATATTGCGAGTGTCAGATACAATCTATCAAATGGCACACCATTGTTTATCCAATAGGGCATCTAAAATTAGATGTATCATTCGCGAGTGTGTGTGTGTGTGTGCGCGCATTATGTTTAACCATACCTTTACTCGTCTATCAAATAATACGTGACGGTCAACAACTTTTATATTCGCATATTTTTCTAATT